GCCCGCATCAGGGAGCGCCGCCCGGGCTGCGCGCCGCCTTTAAGGGCGCGTGAGGGCGCCGGATGGGCGGGGCCGCACGGGCCGAGGGGGCGGGGCTGGGGTTGTCATGGAGACGCGTGCTCAGCCTCACTTTGGCCCGGGGGCGGGGCTGAGACCGGAGTGGGGGAGATACCATGGGAGGGGGCGCCGGGGGGGTCTGAGGACTTGGGGGGAGATACCATGGGAGGGAGGGGGTGACACCGTTGTGGGAACGCTGAGGCCGGGCTGGTGCCATGGAGGGGGCACGGGAGGGGCAGTGATGATGAGGGAACGGGGCAGTGATGATGGGGGAACGGGGCAGTGATGAGGAGGGGTACAGGGCAGTGATGATGGGGGTACGGGGGGGTTGATGCCGAGGGGGGCACGGGGGTTATGCCTTTTTCTGGCAGGGCAATTTTGGGCTCAATCCCAAACTGCCAAACTCCTCGATCCTGGCTCTCCTGACCCGTTTCTCTCTCCCAGGGCCGTTTCCAGGCCAGCCCTCTTTCCCCGGCCCGGTCCCCCCCGGGTACCCCCAGACTCTTCCCCTGCTGCAGCCGCCCCCCTACCTTGACCCTGCAGCTGCGTACCCCGAGGTAGGTGGGACACCTGTCCAGGGGGGCATTTACCCCTGGGACCCCTCCTGTCCATAGCCCAGGGAGAACCCTGGAGCTCACCTGGTTCCCTTGGACAGGGACCCCTCCTTCTCATAGCCCAAGTGACCCAAAACCCCCCAGTAAAGCCCAGGGATGAATTCCAGGTGATTCCCTGCTCCTGTGGGTGGCTGAGAGTCCCCCTGGGTGCTGGATACACACCTGGATGTGGGATAACGCCTGTCTTACTTTGCTGACTTGATGTTTTTCCAGCTCTACCGTCTCAGCTTCGTCCCCCTGGGCGCTGCTGGCGTCCCCCCCATGTCCCCAGCGTACCCAGGTGCGTCCCTGTACCTGCCCCTGGCCCCGCCGCTGCCCGTGGGGGCTCTGGGCACCCCCGTGGCCTATTTCCCACTGGGACAGGTGTATCCACCGGGATCCACGGTGCTGCTGGAAGGGGGGTTTGACACCGGAGCCAGGCTGGGGACAGGTGGCACCGGCAGCATCCCGGTGAGTGCAGGTGGAGCCACAGAACAGGGGGATTTGGGTGGGGAGGGACCAGAAGATCACCTGGCCCTGGCCCAGATGAGTCACAGCCTGCCTGTCCTTGGGCACTTCCAGGTGGGACTGGGGACTGCGGGTGGCTCTGGTTCACAGCCAGGCTGGGTGTGGCTGGTACTGCCCAAATCTGGGCTGGGGAGAGCAGGGCAAGGGAGGCCTTGGCCACTTAACCTCACCTGGCCCCACACCTGGGCCTGGCGTTTCCTGGGAGCTGGGGGAGGGTCCTGGTCCCTGCTTCACCTGACTCTCTTGGCTCCCCTTCCCTGGAACCTGAGAGGTTCCTGCTTTCCTGGGCCCCAGGTGGCAGCACAGGTGACAGGTGTCCCCTACCTGGCCCAGGTGCCGCAGGCCTCAGAGGTGGGTCAGGGCTGAGGACCCAACGTGTCCCCAGACATTGCTGTGTCCCCAGAGCCCACGGGGGCTTCGTGCCCGCCCCAGGTGTGACACCAAGCTTGGCTGTCCTGTCCTGTGGCAGTGACCTTGTCTCCCTCCTGTCACGACTGGCTGGCCTGTCCTGTCGTGACGGTGACCTCGGCTGTCCCCATGTCGTGACAGTGACCTGTCCCCTCCGTTTGTGTCTTGCAGCCACTGCCTGCCGGATGCCCCCCGGGTGCCCCCCCGGTGCCCGTCCCGCCCGGAGCCGCCGTCCTGCTGCCCCCGCGCAAGGGGGGCTTCCTGGGGGGGGCTGGGGGCGGCTTCAGCCTCTGGTGAGGGGGGGCTGGGTTTGGGGGGCCCCCCCGCCCATCAGCACCTCCCCCCAGGTACCTGCACCGGGCCTGGGGAGCCCCAAAGGCCGGGGAGGGCCCCCTCCCTGCAGGTGACACGAGTGGGTGACAGGGGAGGGGTTTGGTCAATCGGGGGATCCCAGGGGGCTCATTCACAAATAGGGGTGAGCTCAGCCCCTGCCTCTTCCTCATTTACGTGCAGATCTAATTAATTAATGGCCTAATTACACCCTGGGGAGCAGTTTTCCTTCCGCCACCCTCATCCCTCTGCTGGACCCATCTGGGTCTCCCTTCTTTTTGGGAAAGGTGGATTTTGGGTAGAAAACAGACAAAATCTCCTCTCCAGAGACAAATTCCCTTCTCAGAGGCAAAAATCTCCTTCCCCACTAATGGGAAGGACCTGAGCCCTTCCCTGCCTCACTCCAGAGGTGCCCCCTCACCCTCTCCCACCTTTCTCTTCCAGAAACTTCTGTCCTGTCCTGGGAATTTTTTAACCCACTCTGAGTAATCTTGGATTGTTTGCACTTCAGCTCTAATTAAAGCCATGACCGGTGCCAGGGCCCTGCTGCAGCTCCCGTGGGATTCTCCCATTCCAGCTAGAACCAGGTTTAACTGATGCTTAATTAGCAAATGCTTGATTTTAACTCAAACCTGGTGTTTTTGCACCCAAATTCCTTAAATCCGAGAGGCTGGTTGCTATCTGTCCCGGGTGTGTGGGAACTGTCAGTGAGCACACAAATCCCTCGGATTGTGGGCTCGCTTTGGGGGGTTATCAATGGCTTTATCAATGAGGTGTTTATTGGTGGCTTTATGAATGAGTTTTATGAATGGGATGTTTGTAGGTGGATTTTTATGAATGGGATGCTCGGAAATGAGTTGTGAATGGGTTTATCGATGTGTTTATCAGTGACTCATGCCTGCATTGATAACCAAACTCCACAAGCTTTCGAGGAACGTTTCAGGGATCCTCAATCGGGTGTTTTTCTTCTTTTTGGTTGTTATTTGATGAAGAAAGAGCTCAGATTCAACTCTATTTTATTGTAATATTTCATTTTAATCTGAATCCGTGTCCTGTGTGTGTGTGACCATCCCTGACTGTTCCCCAGCTCGGCTCTCGGACTCTCTGTGCTGCACTGAACTTGTGGAGTTTTTATACTAAAAACCAAAAATAAAATAAAGATTATTTTGAAAATTTAAATGAAGTAACAAGTTTCTGTTTGGCCTCTGAGAACCACTTTGGCTGCTGCTAGCTGGGGGTTTCCTCACTTCTTTCCTTTTCCCTGCTGGGTTGGCAACTTCCTCTTTCGGGGTTATTATTTTTGGGGGGTATTTGGGGTTTTTCCTGCCCTCAGGCACCCACATATTCCTTCCATGGTTAGCTTCATAAATTAAGGAAAAAAAAAAACCAACAAACCAAGCAAAATCAGCCAGTAGATCCTCAACTTTAGGCAGAACCCCAGGTCCAGGGAATTTAGGTAGATCACAAACTCCAGGAGAATCAGGCAGATCCCAGCTCCAGGATATTTAGGCAGAACCTCAATGTCAGGGAATTTAGGCAGGTTTCAAATTCAGGTGGATCCTCAAATCCAGGGAATTTAGGCAGAACCCCAGTGCCAGGAAATTCGGGTAGAGCCCCAACTCCAGGGAATTCAGGCAGATTCCCAACTTAAGAAGATCTCCCACCTCCAAGAAATTCCCCAACTCCGGGATATTTAGGTGGATCCCTAACTCCGAAAATTTGGGCAGATCCCCGATGCCAGGGAATTCCGGTAGCATCCTAACTCCTGAAAAAATTTATGTAGGCCCCCAGCTCCAGGGAATTTCGGGACCTATGCGGATCCCAGGTGCGTCCTTAGATAAAATATTCCTCCTTCTCCTTGGCCGGAGCCTCCTCCCTCGGGGCCGCGTCCGGCTCCGGCTGCTCGTAGGTGCGGTAGGAGCCCTGGTTCCGGTACAGGTAAATCCCGATCACCACCAGCACCGTCAGCAAGGTGAGGAACACCAGGGTGATCACCACTGTGGGGCAAGCACAGGGCACCAGGGCTCAGCCCGGAGCGACCACAGCGGCCCCGGGCCGGAGCAGCAGCCGCGGCCTCACCTGCGATGACGGCGGTGTCGGCGTCCTCACGGCCAGGGGGGGTGGGAGCCTTCCTCAGGTACGGGGTGGTCAGGTCTTCCTCGGGACAGGGGAGAGATGGAGGTCAGGGAGGGGCTGAGCCAGGTGGAAAACGTGGGAAGAGCTCGGAAAAGCGGCTCCAGGTGCTCACCTGAGCTCAGGTGGGGCTGATCCCCCTCCATCGCATTGGCTCCTTCCAGGTGAAGGTTTGGGGTCCTTCAGAGCTGCCAAAAATAGCGATAAAAGCGGTGAGTTCCCACTCAAAGCCCCATCACCTGTGCTCAGGTGGGTGCTCCTTCCAGTGGCTCCTTCCAGGTGAGGCTCCGGATTCCTTCGGAACTGCCAAAAACAGGGATAAAAGTAGTGATTTCCCACAAATCTCCCCGAAAAGCTCCGCTCGGGGGGTGGGGGGCGGTATTGCCCCACCAGTAACGCACTGGTACCACTGGGGCTGGGGTCGGAGCCGGGGCAGGGAAGAACCAGCCCCCGACTGGATTCGCTCCCAAATTTTGAGAGCTTCAAAGTGCCTGAAAGTCCTTGAAAATGCCCTAAATCCTGAGCCGAAGGTCGATGTCGCAGCCGGGACGTGGAACTGCCGGACCCACCTTGGCCGTGCCCGGTGGGGACCCCCGGGACCCTCCAGAGTGTCCCGGCCGTGGCTCCGGCGCTCGGGGCCGGTGGCTCCGGGGCTCGGGGATTCCGTGACTCAGCGCGGCCGGGAGCGAATCAAATCTCATTTGTTGGGGGATTTTAAAAATAGAGGAAATCGAGCGGCGGGAGCGCGGCCGCGGGGCAGGAGCGGGGCGGGGCCGGGAATTGGGGCCGGGAATTGGGAATTGGGAATTGGAACCGAGGGGGAAATCCCGGGAACTGGGGCCGGGAATCGAGAATTGGGGCCGGGAATTGGAACTGGGGGGGAAATCCCGGGAATTGGGGCCGGGGGAGAGCCGGGAATTGGGGCCGGAATTGGGGAAGTGAACGTTCCTCTCCCCGCAGCGGGACAGGGAGGAGCGGGGAGCCACTCACTCATTAAATTCAGTTTTACTTAAAACCTGCTCTGCTTTAATCCAGTTTTAATTTAAACCCAGCTTTGCTTTAAACCTGGTTTTGCTGTAAGACCAGTTCTGCTTTAAAACTAGTCCTATGTTAAACCTTGCTTTAATAGTTTCATTTTAAGCTTTGTTTTGCTTGAAATCAAACTGCATTAATCCCAACTTTGTTTTAAACCCGATTTTGCCTTAAACACAGCTTTGCTTTAAACCCAGCTTTGCATTAAACCTGATTTTATTTCCAGCACAATTTTGCTTTAAGCCTAGTTTTAATTTAGTCCAGCTTTATGTTAAACCCAGCTTTTCTTTAAACTTGGTTTTGCTTTAAACCCAACTTCACTTTAAGTCCAGCTTTTCATTAAACACAGCTTTGATTTAAACCTGATTTTGCCTTAAAAACAGCTTTCCTTCAAACACAGTTTGCTTTAAACAGTTTTGCATTAAATCCAGAGTTGCTTTAATCCCAGCTTTGTTTGAAACATGGTTTTGTTTTAAACCCAACTTTGAATTAAACAAAGTTTTTCTTTAAACAGCTTTAAATCCAGTTTTGTTTTAACCCAGCCCTTTGTTAAACCCAGCGTTGCTGTGAAGCTCTCCCAGCTCTGGGCCTTTCCCAAAGGCAGCCACGACCTTCCCATGGAGCAGCTGCTGCTCCTGGGCAGCTTCAGAGCGAAAACTGTGTCTGATTTCCCCAAAAGAGACTGGGATTTAATAGAAAAATAGGAAAAGGTGCTGCTGGGTGGAACGGGAGCTGCTCCGAGCCTTAGGGAGGGTTTCTTGGCAAGAGTCTGGCATTAGCAGTGGGAAACATGAACCAGTTCTGTGCCCCAGCACCCAAAAAATGGAATCCTGCGACCCACAGTAGCTGAGAAATGGAATCCTGGGACTCACCAAAGGTTTAAAGCGAGTTTGATCTGAGGGAAAGGTTTGATTTCCATCAAACCATGCATGGTCATGGAAGTGGAGCTCCTTGTGCTCTCTCCTGGGGCAGGGATGCTCCCTGTGGATCCCCCTCAGTGCTCCCTCCTCGGGATCGTGGGAAGGAACTGGCGCTTCCCAACACAGAAACCCGCGAGGTTTTTGGCAGTGCCAGGCTGGGATCCAGCCCGGAAGAGGGGGGCTGGCAGCAGGAGTGAATCATTCCCAGCAAACTGCGTCCCGATGGATTTCCATGTGTTTTTAAAGCAGGGTTGTGAAAAACCCTCATCTTCCTCATTCCTGTGCTCCGGCCCAGTGGCTCCAGAGCTGTTCCCAAGGGAAACTCTGCCCTGCACTGCTGCTCCCGTCCTGAAAACTCCTCCAAGGAGCACTGGGGATGCAGCCCCCCCATCCTGATCCCCATCCCCATTCCCGGTGCCTGGAGGACCGGAGGAGAATCCCCACAGGGATTTTTTAGGGGTGCTTGGCGGTGCCTTCACAGCCCCCCCATTCCCATCCCACTTCCATTCCCATTCCCAGCGGATGGAGGATGGGATCATCCCCACAGGCTTCGTTTGGGGGTGCTCAGCAGCCCCTTCCCAGCCCCCCCTCCCCTCCCCAGCGGGTGGAGGGCAGGGTTTGCTGCTCACCCTCGTTTCTTCTCAGCCACCTTGGGATGATCCCCTGGGATCAGCACTTTGCTCCCCCTGTTTCCCCCTCAGCTTTCCTGCCGGATTTCCTGGTTTCAGCCTCTCCCTGAGGCAGGATCCGGCCTTTTCCCTCCCCTTCCACCCCAAATTCAGCTGGAAATGCCTGGCCGAGCCCCGACATTCCGGCTTCACCCCAGACCAGCCGCACACCCCGTCCCTCATTGCAGGGCTCTGGTGCCTCCGTATCCAAATCCCTGTGTCTGGTGTAGGAATCCCCTGAAACCCCCCAGGGAATGGGAATTTCGGGGGGCATCGCGGGATCCAGGTCACACTCCTGCAGCTCTTACCTGCCGGCACCATGTGCGGCTCCAGGTGAAGGCGCTGCCCAGGTGAAGGCGTTGCCCTTTTCATTCCTCACTTTTCCAGTTCGGCCGGAATGAGGATCAACCCCGAGGATTCCTCCCCCGTTAACCCCTCGCTGGCTACGGGGCCAATCCATCACCCCGGAGATTGGGAATGGGGCTTTGTGTGGGAATGGGGGAATTCTGGATCACGGGAGGGGAAAATTGGGGTAGCTTGTTTTATTTTTGGCATGACAGTGCATTTTCCGGGAGCTGGTGGAACAGGCTCGATGCCTTTTCCCTGAGTCACGGATGTTGGAGCGGGGGTGGGGGGGGAGAGTGACAATCCCTAACTCCCCACACCCCCCAACTCCTCAGCCGCCCCAAATCCGCAGGTGGGGTTCCCCCCGGACCCCATCTGCAATCCCAGATGGAGATTTGGGATTTTGCCACCTTTTCCATCTTTATTTCGTACGGGATGAGGGCTGGGAAATGCATTCTGGGGAATGAATTTGGGAAAGACGCCGTATTTCCCGTGGGATCACAGGGCGCTGAGGGACTCGGTGGGATCCCGGGAGGAATCTGCAGCATCTGAGGCGTCCTGGCTCGTGTCCTGCTCCGGTGTCCCGGAACAGCCCTGGGAGAGGCATGGGGGTGACACCGGCACCTCGTGATCCCGTTCAATTCCATCCAAAAGGGACCGAGCCCCCCGCCCTTTGCACCCGCCTGGGTTGGGGATCCAGAGGAGTCCGGCGTTCCCGGGCCCGACACCGCGGGGAGGGGCAGGTCCAGCCCCACCTGCAGCAGGGGGTGTCCCACGGGGCTGGGTTTGTCCCCCGGCTCGGTCTCGTGTCCCCACGTCCCGCCCGGGTGCCCCCCCCCATTCAGGGATCCCCCTGTGCGTGTTCCCCTCTCCCACCCCTGGCGTCTCCCAGAACTTTCCCAGCCGAGTTTTGCGCACCTCTGCCTCGACATCCGTCACCTCCGCGCTGTCCTCGGTGTCACCGCGCTGTCCCCGGTCCCCGCCGAGCTGACACGGCCCCCGGGGACTCTCCGGTGCCACGGCCGCGGGTCCGAGCACATGGCAGGGCAGAGCTGCGCTGGGGGCCCCCGGCTCCCCGGGACCTGCCCGACCCTCAGCGCCGGTGGCCGCGCCGTCCCCGGCCGTGTCCGTGGCTTTTCCCGGCTCTGGCGACGAGGTGCCGGTGGCCTGGGCAATGGCCTCGGATAAAATCAGTGACGCCAGGGAGGTGGCGATGCCCTCGGGCCCCCCCCGCCCCCCGCTGTAACCCCCCGGCTGCGGTGTCTCCTGAGCAGGGGACACAGAATCGGGCTCGAAGATGGGCTCCGGGCTCTCCTCGCTGGACACCGAGGCCGTGTCCAGGGAGCCCCCGCTGGCGGGCGAAGCCGGGGGGGGCCCGGGGGAAACAGCCCCGGGGTCTCCGTTGGTCTCGGTGGCAGCGCTGTCCCCGCCGGGGGACGCCGGTGTCACCTCCGCGTCCAGCACGGGCGCCTTGTCCGGGCAGGGGAACGCGGCCGGGGGGCTCACGGGCGCGGAGATGACCAGAGAGCGGCGGTTGCTGGGGGAGGACAGAGGGGTTCAGCTTGGGGTGTCCCCAGGCATCCTTGGGGTGTCACTGTCCCAGTTTGCAGGTGATGCTTCCCCATCCAGCAGGACCCCGATTAATTCCCCTGGCCCACCAAAAAGCACCTTCAGCCCTTCTTTCACAGATGTCCACCCACCCCAGGACTCTGGGACTGGAGCCTCCACCACATCTGTGGGGGGCTGGGAGGCGAATTGTCCCCTTAACCTCGGCTGTCCCCTCATCTCCCCGAGGTGTTACCTGGGAACACCTTTGATGATGAACACCTTGCTCGAGTGCTGCTTCTCCAGTTTGCTCATCACCTCATACAGGTCCCGGTTGAGCTGGGCAGGGGGAACACAGAAACACTTCAGGGGGTCCCCAAGTGCTCCCCATCACCCGGGGGCTCAGCAGGGCCCCCAACACCTGGGGACACCCCAAACACCCTCGGGCTGCTCTGAACGAATTAAATGAAGAGCAGGGACTCTGCAGGGGAACAGCAGCGGCATCGCCAGCTGGGGACACCTGGGGACACCTGGGGACATCTGAGGGCACCTCCTGCTGCCGGGGGGAGGGGGAGGTGTTTTGGAGTGCCCTCCCCACCTTGCTCATCTCCTTGTAGAAGACGTCACGGAGGTTGGAGATGTTCTGGAAAACGGTGATGTAACAGGCGATGCGGCTGTGGGGGACATGGGAGGGATCTGGGGCTACACGCGATGTCCCACGGAGGGGACACCGGAGGGGTCTGGGGGTGCTCAGCCACATCACACCCACCCCACCTGCTGAGTCTCCAACTCCGTGGACCCCGCTGGAAGAGGAATGGCCCCCTCAGGGCCACCCCATGGGTGCTGTTGAGTTGCCACCTCCCACTGCCACAGGGCCCCGTGGCCGATGTCCCCCCAAACCCTCGATGTGTCCCCAGGGTGGGCTTTGAGGAGAGACCCACGCAAGTTCTCCCCTGCCATGGGGGGACCTCACCCACCCGATGGCACTCATGCCCAGCCCGTGTCCCCCAGCCCCACAATGTCCCCCAACCCCCTGGTCCGTGATGTCCCCAAGCCCTCCCAATGTCCCTCAGCCCCAGGACATCCCCAGCCTGGCAACCCCCAGAGTGATCTCCAGTCCCACGATATCCCCAAATCCCTGCAGTGTCCCCCCCAGGCCCTGAATGTCCCCGAGG